AAGTTTCAGGAAAAGATTCTCTTTTTTTGTCCTCTATTTCTATAAAAACCTGCTCTGAAATGAGCGATCAGATTTTGGCCAATTTATGATGTTTGACGATTTTTTGGGCTTGTGTAACATTAGCCAATCACCGCCAGGTTAAACCCCGCAGCAACTTATTCACCGGAATCTACTCTAGAGCACCATGGTTTCTTTTAACAAATTCTTCTCAGAGGGGCGTGGGAGGGCTCCTGTATTTATTAAGAGTAACGAAGAGATAGGCACTTTGGAAACAGGGGGCTGAACAGAGGGGTTTGGGATGCTGCAATGATCTGTTGGTGTTTGGGCCACAAAAACTTCAGAGACATGTTTTGTATATATCTGAGCCTATTAATATATGTGAAAACGGTATAATAGGGGGACATTAAACACACACATGGGGAAAACATTAAAAGAACATCTACAAAAAAACAGTTCGACATTGGGGACATTTAATGCTTAACTTCCTGTTGTATATGTCTTTTTTAATCCGGAAGATAGATAAGCACTGTAAAGCTTTTACACTCCACATTTCTCTATTAGTTTGATTTGCAGTGCCCACATTTCTTCAGCTTATCACATTTCCTTTCCTCAAAGATGTTCAAGGTGAAAAATATTATTTTTTGAAAGAATGTAGTTCTTCTTTCCTTCTTGTACCCTACGACATGATTATTCTGTGGTTGGTAACAGGATATGACTGAACTTTGGCTTTTGCGTTTTATTTTAGCTTCCTGTGAAATGTTGCATTCATTGGAAGTAGTCTTTTGTAATTGCATCAGCTTGAAGCTTGACCATTCAAATGTTTTTAATCCCTTCTAAAAACACTCACTATTATTTGAATCCCTATGAGCAGAGGTGGGAAGTAGTGGAATACAAATACTTCGTTACTGTACTTAAGTATATTTTTCTGGTATCAGTACTTTACTCCACTACTTATTTTTCTGACGACTTTCTACTTTTACTTCTTACATTTTCTACAGAAATACCTGTACTTTATACTTTTTACATTTTTCAAAACAGGCTCGTTACTTACATTTCTTTCTTTTTAAACATTACCATAATAATTTTTGTGTTGTTACCAAGGAAGAGGTAGATTCACCCTACTATCTACAAAGTAGCCTAGGTGTTTTTTCCCTGTCCCCACTTCTTCTTTGCTTGTGTTCTAAATGGTGGTTGTTCAGTGTTGAAACATTCATTAGCTAACAATGACATTTTTACAATTTGAAATAGAAGAACTTTAATGCTCTATTAATATAAAGTGAGGTCCAGTTACCAGTTACTCTATAAAACAGTTTGTAGTTATGGGTACTTTTTACTTGAGTACATTTCGAAGCCAGTAAAGTACTTCTTTACTTTTACTCGAGTAAAGAAGTTTGGTCAGTACTTCAACTTTTATCAGAGTATTTTTAAACACGAGTATCTGTACTTCTACTTGACTAAAGGATGTGTTTACTTTTGCCATCTCTGCCTATGAGTATATTTTGTATCTTTATCTGCTTTTCATTGAGTCTCTGTTGGTGTATTTATGTTCTCCTCCTCCTCCTCCTCCTCCTCCTCCTCCTCCTCTCAGATCCCCCAGATGCAGAGGTGTCTGGCTTCGCTGGAGACTGGTTGATGGGTTTGGAGAATGCTGCCCTGAGGTGTGTGAGCGGAGGAAACCCCAAACCACACAGCTTCACCTGGCTCAGGTACAGAAGGCCTGCCTCCCTCTGGCTGTCTGGAAGTCGTGTGACTAACTGTCTGATGTGTCTGGTCACTGTTACTTTTCCCATAACTCATGCCAATTATTTCACTATGATTTTCCCAGTGAGTTGTACAAATGTCTCAGGCAAATGTGAAAGCAAAATGCCTCCATGTGACCAGGATGTTTTTATGATCTCGCCTGCTCTTCTTAACTCTCTCACAGAGCAAGTCATTACATTACATGTTACTTGTTAGACGCTTTTATCCAAAACGACTTACATACTCAATACTGTGGGCAATCCCCACAGGAGCAATTTGGGGTGAAGTTTCTTAGGGACACAATGACATGCTGACTGCAGTGGGGTTTGAACCTGATCCCAACACCAATGCACAACACACTGCACCACACGCCTCCCGTCATATAAAGCAACATTGACATACACTGTAAATATAGGCTCAGGGAAACAAATTCAACTTTTAAAATTACCTATTTTTAAAAAATAATTGTAATATTAAAATCAAGGTACAAGTAAACAATATTAGTTGAAGCAATAGGGCAGAAAGCATAGAATCAAATTTGCTCTCCCGTGAATTAGTCAACCTTTTTGATCAAAGGCCTAATTTGAAATAGCTACAAACTTTATGATAAATATGTTTTAAAACTAATATTTTAAATAATATTTTCAAGCTAAGGATTTACCGAAGTCCTGTGCAGGGGCTGAAATAATAATACACACCAGGAAAGAGATAAGAAGTGTCATACAAGTAAATATGTCACTACAACCCATTATATAATTATTTTAAAGAAATAACAAAAGACCATGTTTTTAATTATATTGTCGAAATGATATTTTGATATAGGTTTGTTTAGTCTGTTAATAAAAATATATCTAAACTTTGATTTGAATTATTGATATGATACGGACAAGACAGATAGAATAGGATAAGAGCAGTTTGCCAGATTCATAAACGAGCCATGAGATGTATTTGTCTATACAGATACTGGCGGATTAGACTGCATGTAAAATACAATGTAATCCTGTTTCTTCACCATCCTTTCCACATGGCCTAATCAGAGTCCCAGCGTTGTCACTTCCTGTGTCCATGCGTGGTTTTAAACTCAGACGAGGGTTTGACTGAGATTTCTCACTTCTTCTGCTTGAGTCACCTGGTGTCATCTTTAAGCCGTTTCATGAAGTGAATCAATATATTCTCAGGGTGTGGCATAGAGTTTGGCTCAAAAGTGTGAGCCACAAAATGACTGTAAGTCTCTCATGGAAGTATGAGAAGTGACAGTTTTGCCCCAGGGAGAAATTCCTTACCAACAGATGGAGCATAGGTACATCTTACATTTAAAGAATATTATGTAAACAAGTTTGGTGTGGTTTGAAGTGATTTTGTGCCAGGTGATGTTTAACTTACCTTTCATTGTTAGTCACAGGAACACACCTCAAAATGTTTATTTTTTTTAGTAAGGCCTACTAGACTCACACCTGATTGAGCATGTACACACACATACACAGGGCCATGTTAGCACTCTGAATCTCTAGTTACAAGGAAACCTCTCTTCCACACACATTTCTCACAAACACACACACACACACACACACACACACACACACACACACACACACACACACACACACACACACACACACACACACACACACACACACACACACACACACACACACACACACACACACACACACACACACACACACACACACACACACACACACACACACACACACACACACACACACACACACACACACACACAGATGACTGCAGCACTGGGCAAACCTGTTGGCTTTGTCAATAAAAGGCGGCAGGTGAAGTAATAGCTGCTGTCACAGTTTCCTGTTGCGGCTTGTGCCGAGAGCAGACAGATGAGATGGTTTCACACGAAGGAGGGAGGAAGGGGGGATGAAACGAAAAGGGAAAGGGATGATCGGCCCCAACAAGAGAGGTGAAATAGGGCAGCAGGTAGCACAGGGGTTGGGGTGAGAGGAGGAGGAAGAAGAAGACGATGGATGTGTGGATTTGATCAAGATGTTATCAGATGTTATGTAAAACACACAGTTGATATTTCCTGCTTGTAGTGAGGGTGAGTGTAATGTGAACAGGTTTGCTTCACTGCATGTGTTCCTATAGTTGGAATACACCCAGTATTTCTGAGGCAATGTTGACATGTTGTTAAAGTTCACAGCAATAGGCAGACAAAAAGGTCAAGTCTGTTCAAACGGATTAAATGAAATACGCTCAAAACAACAACACCGAGGCAACACCCTGGAGTCGCTCATCATCACTGCCCTGAGTCACACTGCCAGGAAATACCTTTGTATTTCCCAACAATTAAAAGTCTACAGTGTCGGCTATCGGGGATCTATTGGTAGAAATGGGATAGTAGATATGCTTTTTTATTAGAGTATATTAACCAAATGCCTTCTGTTTTGGTTCCCTTATGGGCCCTTTCATATCTTCATACTGTATAGGAAGTGGGTCCTCTTCACGCTGTCGGCCATGTTGCTTGCCATGTTTCTACAGTAGCCCCAAAGGGACAAATCAGGATTCAGAGAGTGCCTTACGTGGCTTTATTTTACCTCAAAGTCAAACAAACAAAAAGAGCAATTTAAGGGAAATGAATGTCGATTCTGATAATCTATGCAACTGAATAATCACACAAAAGCAACTTAACATGTAAAAGAAAAAAATGGTTTCACAGTAAGTTTGAAATAAACAGCAGATTTTGTGGCCGTAACCTGACCAACTATAAACAAACATTAACTTTATGAGGGACTGTGTGAGTGATTGTATAAAAAGGGGTCATGTCTTTTTTGTTTTGTTGAATAGTTAGATAGTAGATAGGGAGGTTGTATCCAGTATTCAGCACCCTACCCCATCCTAGTATTTGTTCTCTAACGATAAAAGCTACTCTGTGAAATATAGTGAGAGATGTAGAGGTGGGAAGTAGTGCAGTACAAATACTTCGTTACTGTACTTAAGTACATTTTTTCTGGCAGTGTGACTCAAGGTAATGTGTCAGTACTTTACTCCACTACTTATTTTTCTGACGACTTTTTACTTTTACTTCTTACATTTTGAACATAAATAACTGTACTTTCTACTTCTCACATTTTCCAAACAGGCTGGTTACTTTAGTTTTAATGTGTGTTTGGTGGCGAGATCATTATTATTTAGAGTCATTGCGTGCCTATTGATTTTAACACGATCCGTGTATCCATCATTTCCTGGTCTTCTATAAAGAAGAGGGACCAATGAAAACGTTGTCATTTTGCCGTTGTTCAGCATGGAACATTATTGTTCTATTACTATAAAGGGAGGCCAGTTACTCTATAAAACAGTTGGTAGCTACATTTTACTTAAGTACATTTCAAAGCCAACACTTTACTTTTACTTGAGTAAAGAAGTTTAGTCAATACTTCTACTTTTAACAGAGTATTTTTAAACACCAGTATCTGTACTTCTACTTGAGTAAAGGATGTGTTTACTTTTGCCATCTCTGAAGAAATGTTGCAATTCTTAAAAAGGGAACTCAGATCATCACATGACCAAGATAATAAAGTAAGGGCTGATATAAATGCACTATAACTCTGTTTTGTTTTCTTTACAGAGTTGGGGGAGAGTTACCGGAGGGAGTTATCCTCCACCCTAATGGAACACTAGTTTTTGGGCGACCCCTTAGCTCGTCAGATAAAGGCACCTACCAGTGTGTGGCGAAGAACGACGTAGGAGTGGGGAAGGCGGAGGTGGAGATTATTGTGGGAGGTACAGGACAACAAAGTAATTACAACACTTACAATGAGAATACATGTACGCATCCATCTAATCCCCCCCCCCCTGACCTCCTTTGCAGACTCCCTCCAGGAGCTGAGCTTGTTTGAGAAAATGCCAATGATCTTCATCGGGGGCGCGGCGGGGGGGCTGCTGATCCTGATGCTTATCGTCATCATCTGTGTCACTTGTCATCACAAACGGAAGAACAGGAAGCTGGAGAGGGAGCTGACTCAGAAGAAGTATGTTGGGATTTTGTAATTAAAATGAGATTAAATGAGATGATACATTAATGATATCCTCAGGGAAGATTACGTCAATAAGAATAACTAAGAGTGGAGTTACTCAGGGCTACTGATCATATTAGCACTGACAGTTAGAATTAGATAAACAAAATGTGTCAAATTAAGTAATACATGAGTGTGCAGGATGTGGAAAATAACAGCAAAGATGTTATAATATGCTGTAAAATCTGAAAATGGTCTAAAATATGGATGATCCACAGTCTATTTCTTCAATCATTTAAATATCTTCTTTTTCCCTTTTTTCTTGCAGGGAGGAAATAAACACTCTGGCGAGGGTTGCTTCTATCAGGAGGATGAACTCTGTCAGCACAGATGCCAGAGGAGCGGTACTATTCCTGAATTATTCTTTATACACTGAGCACTGCAGCATCATGTTGGGTGTTATCCTTTGTGTGCACAACCTGATTCAGGATTGCTGGTCCCATATGTTTCACGTAATCATTTATGCAGGGATTCTCATTCAGAATTGATACTGAGATGAATGATAATGCAGTCAGTCAAATGATAATATCTCGTCTGTCGCTCATCTTGCCCTACCTACAAGTGAGGGAAGTTTGGAAAAGGTTTTATGTTAGTTGCACAGACTTTTCACTCATCTAATCCAGCTCTCTGTTTCCTTTCAGACAGAGGAAAACATCCCTCTGAGGGTGGAGGCGACCCTAAGGACCAGCCTGTCTTCCCTCGGGGTCAGTCTACGTTTTACATTTCAAATCTGAATGTAGTGCATCTCGGATAATAATAATAATAATAATAACGATAACCCTTTAAAAACCTTTCTGCTACTTTAATGCTCCTCTTTATTGGGACCTTTTGTTTAATGGGTGGCTTTTTAAATGTCTACACTGAGGTACACTACAGTGAGGCAAGCAAAGAAGCATATCTCCAAAAATGTCAAACCTACCCTTTAATGTCGTTTTAATGTCATGTGATTCTGCTGACCTCACGCATGGTGTTCTGCACAAAGTTATTCCAGTTAATTATTTAGTTTTATATAGCAGCTGTAATTAAAAGCCTTATACACCCATGTGTTAAAGGTCCCATTGCATGCTTTCCTGGTTATTACCCGTCCCCTTGTGTGTTATGTAGCTTTTTATTTTAAAAACATTTATTTTTTATTCAAACCAAAGTCAATTAATACTTTTTTTTTTCTAGCTCGGACATTATTTGGAAATTAATTGGAAATTAGAGATCCATTACAGTGTTACATGATATTTCAAGAAATGCAAGAAACCAAACTAACATATTATTGCTTTAATTAATTTGAAATGAAAAAATAAATCTCAGAATGACTATTTCAAATCAATCTTTAGAACAAAATTGTCTACAGTTTAAACAAAGGGTGCAGAATATGAATGGGTGAATGAGTGAAACTGATCACCGTGTGTTTCCGTGCCGACAGGAGCAGGCTCACTGCCGTGACAGCCGCTCGACTATCTCTATTGGACGGAGTGGAATGGGAGCGTACGACTACCTGGGCAGACCAGTACTAAACAACAACTCTCGGAGGGGAAGAGAAAGGATTCTGGATAGAGACGAGGAGAACCGACTCAGAGTGGAGTCATACGTGAGAAACAGCAGTATTTCTTTAGTAAGTGTGTCTTTGTGTATGCGTATTTCTGGGCAAGTCAAAACACGATTTAACCAAATTGTGGAATGCATCTGAGCAAGCTTATTAGCCTCTGCATGCTTACCTAATGCTGATGAAGTTTGTATGTTTGTTTCAGCAGGAAACTCGATTCCACCCTCCTCTCACGCCTTCAGCCTTCCCAATCCTTCAGTCCACTGAGATTGTGAGACAGCTGAACGGCAGCGCCATCATCCCACCAGACGGGGGTTCACGGCCAGGAAGTGTCTCCAAAAACCACCAGCACCCTCCTCCGAACTACAACTACCCTCGGGTGATAGATGATGAGGATGAAGTGGACGAAGGTTTGGGAGGTCCTGCCAGTCAGGAGCACCCCGATGACCAAGACAGCGAGACAAACAGCTCCCAGGTGTCTGAGGCCCACAGTGCTCTCTATCAGCAGACTAACGGCACAATCAGACCTAAACCCAGGCCCACTGGGATCAGTCCCCATGCCTCCCTGATCCACAAGGCCCAGATAGTTTAGCAGGCAGCTGGGAATGAACATGTGGAACTACAAGACTTGTCAGCTCTGGTCTTGGAACAGATTCAAAGGAACAATCCTGAGAAAAAACATCTGCATTTTGACTACAATGCTGCTTCTTCTATTGTGCATGGTGCAATACAATAAACTCTTAAGAGGAATTCTTTGCAGCATCTACTGGGCATATCGGATTTCTGCCTGATGTTTGGTGATCAACAAGTGTGTTCCTGGCACAAACAAAGACTATGTCGCAATATTTCCAGTAAAGCTTCTACAGCGTTTAATCGCAGACAATATTTTGTGTTCCCATTTCGCAATACAGCATCTGGTGCTCTATGACGGACAGGTGATTGCAGTTGACATACCTTTGAGGGGGATGTTAAAAGAACTCAAGGACATGTACGGTAGAAAAAATAAATAAGGAAATGCAAGAGAAGTAGAGGAGGCCGTGGGGAAGTTGGTAAATCAGAAGATTGCAACACTTCTGTATGTAGGGTGGTTGATGCCATAGTGGTTCTCAGTGTGTCACTAACCGTGCCTGCGTTAAGTTTCCTTACACAACACGGTTTGGGAGCTGATCCACACCATGGGGTTGTTCCTTCTTTGCCACACCTGCACCATGCATACCTCCTAATTGTCTTGGATGTCATTAAGTCAAAACATGACTTATTAATGTGGTGATTTGGTGACCTGTAAATCTGTACAAAAATGCAAATAAATTCTGTTACAATTTTAATTTTTTTTTAAATCATCTGTACAGTAAATAAGCAAACACAAATAGCCGATAAATAACCAGTACAACCTGCTCCTGATCCAAGTTGAGAACTGGAACAGCTGCTATGTTTTTGTAAAATCCATTTTTAATTTTTCAACCGAGTGCGCTTTTGTGGTTACTAATAGAGGAGAACATGTTCCACAACCTTGGACTGTATATGTTCCTTGAAAGGTTTCTTCGGCGTTCCAGATAATGCCTTGCATGCAAGAACAACTTGAGATGAAACGGTACAGCTTTTTAATATTTTGGCAAAACCAAGCCTGCCTTACTTAACTCTAGATGAGCAATAGTAGATACATTTTGTAAATATCGGGCTCTGTTACAACCCTGACATGGGAAGAAATGTGCCAAAGGGAAAATATAGAAAAATCTATTTGTTTAATTGGCAAATATGAAGTATTATTTGTTTCGTCACGTATATGTATTACATTGTTATGTTTAGTTTATTTTACCTTAAGAATTTGAGATCGTTTGTTACAAAAACAATGTGCCATATATTATTTGCTCACACCTAATATAGGTTAAAGCAAATGAATGGTGTTATGTGTGAATGTAGGCTGTATTTGTAGTAAACATTGCCCCCTGATGTGTACTGCTGGGAAGTGCAGGAAGCTAAATGAGCCTACTGCTAAACTACAGAACTATGAAAAGACTCTGCATTGCACTGTGATTATGAGAAATGATCTTCCTGGTCAATTGCCTGGACATTTGTTTATTTTAAGGGCTATGTTTGGGTATCAGATTGTTTTGAGGGGTTGAAATAAATGCGCATTTTTTGTATGATGTTGATGGTAAAAAAATTGTTTGGATCATATACATTTAAACTGATATTTATTCTAGTTTTGGGGGGAAATTGGATTTAGTTTGGGATTTAACTGCAAAGGACTAAATGAGCATTTCACAGGTTTCCAACTCATGATGCACAGTCTATCTATTCCCTCATTGTCATGTGATGCTTGGTGTGATGTGTGTGCTGCTAATTAATTAAAGAAAAGAGCAACATGGCATATAACATCAACTAAAAAAAGAATTAAAACTAGATTTTGAACATAACATAGTTCCTATAATGTATATTTTTAGTTTTTCCAATTCAACCATTACTAAAACAGATTGAGCAATTAAAAATAAATAAAAATGAAAATACAGTTAACACACTCATCCAGGTTTTGCTTTAGTTGCATCACAATAAAATAATGTAAAACAGGGAAGAATGGGAACAGTCGCAGCCCTTTTTTGGATGTATCTCAGTTAATCAGAGACTATTCGGACTTGACCAACTAAAAGTGTATATATTAAACTTAAACATCTGTTTTAATCACTCATACCAATTGAATATGAACATATATGAACACAGATTGTTCACAATATACATCAGAAAGGAATTCAATTTAGATGTTTTCTTGACCCCAACCCGGGGACAGTTGTAACAAACATCAGGGATGTTTGCAACATACTTTAAATGTCACTGCTTAACTTACCTTTTGTCTCAATGAACATAGTATTCTTAAAATATGTATTGTTTTACATTAATATTATAGTTATTTTATTTATACAATAATTAAATAGCATTATTCATAGTCAAAAATTGCAACAACTATACTACAACTGATTGTTGTGTTTTAAAGCATTTACTGACATCCCATTATTTACGTAACATTCACTTTTGCATGTTCAAAAAAGCAATTTAAAATTGTATTTGGGTTGAATATCCTTGAAATCACCCCAAATATCTTTTTTTTTCTTTTTTTATGATATTGTGTTGCCTATCATGACATGGCTCATTAGTTATGGGGACAACTAGGCCACAAGTAAATAAGTAGCCAACTAGTTAAGTTTAAAAATTAGGTTATTAGCAAACAAAACTGCTGATAGTTTGGTTTAATATCGGCAGTTTTGGCAAGAAAAGGTCTAATAGCACCGAATAAAAAAAATTCAATCAACCAATCAAATAAAACTAACAGAAAATAAACAAACAAGACTGGACCGGAAGTGAGTAATGAATGAAGTCATGCAGAAGGAGGAAATAGATCTCGATAGCTAAGATGGCGGAGGAGCAGCAGGAATCATCACAGCCAGAGGTGGGGGGTGAGTGAAACAGTTGCAACACAAAATATTCAACTAACAGTGTGGCCATTTCTCTTGCAAATGAAGCCCGAACCGATACGAGTGTCCCCTCGACGTTTCAGCCGCTGTCCTCTCCGCGGGGCCGGGGGCTGGCATGGAGCGATGAGGCCACAGCTAGTTGGCTAATGTTAGCTAGCTACCATTGCTACACAAAGAGAAAACGCTTGTTTAGTTACTGTCATGGCAGCAATAAGTGGCAGTCCCACCATTTTTGACTTGGGGAAATGTTGAAAATGTATGCTCAACATTAGAAGACAGGACATCCCGTTTTTAGTAGCTAGAACAACCGTTTTTGTCGTGACTTGAATTTGTTTTGTTTTCGCTCGGGTCGAGCTAGCCATGTTGAGCTGACTGACGTTAGCTGATGTTCTCATTTGAAGTGGTTTCATGTTAACTGCTGACTATGGCTGAATCCTCTGTGGTGACGACATGTCATACAAATAGGGAGAGACAATATAGATGTATAGCTTTTAAGTACATATCCATTTGATTATTGTTTTTATTTACGTCAGTGCAATGTTGATTTCACTAACCAGCATGGGGGGAGAAGTACTCGGATCTAAAAGTAGAAGTACAAAAGTATAGGAATACTCTGTCAAAGTAAAAGTCCTGCATTCAAAATGTTACTTAAGAAAAGTACAAAAGTATTAGCATCAACATGTACTTAAAGTACAAAAAAAATAAAAGTACTCATTATGCAGATTGCCCCACTTCAGAATAATATAGGATGTGTTTTGATTATAATTAATGATGCATTAAAGTGTTATCAAAGCTGCTGAAGGTGCAGCTAGTTTTAATGACTTTGTAAACGGCAGGGTATCTTTACATTGTGTTTGTTGAAACTCCTTGCAGCAATTGTTTAGCTATTCGCTTAGCAAGTTCATTTTTGTAGACATCTAGCCTCGTTTAGCTAAATAATTAATTAGCTCTAACAATGCTATCCTTAAAAAATCCTGCTGTTAGCATTGCATTTGTGGCATATTCAATATGCAGCACTGATCTTGACAGCTATGTCTCCTCAGATTTTAACCTGACCAATTTTCTATCATGATATCCATTATTAACACTGGCCCTGATTTGATACAGATTTTTTAAATCCAATTGCCAATCACTAGATTAAATTTCAGCCATCATGGTGGCTATCATTTCCCTTTTTAGAGTTTGTACTCTGAACGCCTAATTATTCTGTCCCCTTCTCTAAAAGGAGGAGTGAACTGCCTTGCATACGACGAGGCCATCATTGCTCAACAGGACAGAATTCAGCAGGAGGTGAGAAATCCATTTTCAATGAAGATCCAGATCAGAAAGTTTCACATTCTATTCATTTTCAGAAGTGTTCAGAAAACCCAACTGATGCCTAAAATGTACTAATGTTCTAGTATTCACTGTTTTGATCAGAATAGAGGCACCCATGAGGGACGTTTTTTTTAATGATCTATTTTGTGTGTTTGGTCTGTAGATAGCCAACAGTAACCCGTTAGTGTCGGACAGACAGGACCTGGCGGTGCTGCAGAGGGAGTACGCTGACGAGGACACAGTTTATCAGCTCAAGATCAAGGTAAGTCAAAGGTTACTGTACCTACCGAACCAAAATGTATGTCTATTGCATACTCAAATAGTCTGTGCACAGTTTTTGTAAAACTCTTTTTTTGTTTTGTTGCAGGACCTACATAAAAAATACTCGTGCATTCGTAAGACGCGACCAGATGGGAACTGTTTCTACAGAGCCTTTGGCTTCGCACATCTCGAATCGCTGCTTGATGACAGCAAGGAACTTCAGAAGTGAGTGTCACAGTGGTTACTGTTTGTGCTGTAGTCACTTTTGGTCACACTTTTGTTGTAGTGTTTGATAGCGTTACTTTAGCTAAAGAGAGAGTGGAAGCGAAGCACCCGTAGGACATCGGAAGCAAAAACTGATTTTCTGCTCAAAAAATGATGGTCTGCTCTGTCAGGTGTTTTGTTTTCTGAGTGCGTAGCTCTTGGTCAGTTTGTCCTGTTATCAATTCTACTTAAGGTCTAACAAACACTATTATTGATGGCCCACATTTCACAAGGTTTTTGAATACATGTTTTTGTCTCTTCAGGTTCAAAGCAGTTGCAACTAAAAGTAAACAGGACCTGGTTAATGAAGGCTTCACTGAGTTTACCATTGAAGACTTTCACAACACTGTGAGTGTCTTGTTCAAGAAAAATGACATTTCTTATTTATTTCTATCTGCTGAGCCAAGATGCAGATATTTCCCCTATATTATAAAGTAGTAGAAAGCATGATATTATTATTTTGTTTATTGAAGTGAACAGTAGTAACGTTTTATCGGATCAAAATTGTGAAATGTTTGAATCTCGCATTAGGTATACTATAGCCATCATCTTGTTGGATTATGTCTCTAATGATATGAATAATGTGTTTTCTCAAAGTTCATGGACCTGATCGATCTGTGTGAGAAACGGCCGACCCTGCAGGAAGTGCTGAACTCCTTCAACGACCAGAACGTGTCAGACTATTTGGTCGTGTACCTGCGGCTGCTCACCTCCGGCTACCTGCAGAGAGAGTACGGATTCTTTCAGCATTTCATCGAAGGAGGACGCTCTGTCAAGGAGTTCTGTCAGCAGGTTAGTTTTGAAAATGCTTTCTTTAGTGAACTTCACCAAAGAAAACATCTAGTTCATGAGAAGCAAATGTGGGTCTCTAAATGATCATTTTAATAGAAAAGATGGGCTTAAAGGCATTTATGTACAAATTGAAATATGCTTTTTTTGCTTCAACAAAAGTCAGCCATTCTTGGGTGAATAAGATACGATTTACTTTATTGATCCTTAATTTAAGAAATATTTTCATTACAGAAGCTTGTAAACAAGGCATTGCACACGATGGATGAAAATGAGTAGGAAATGATCAAAATAAAAATATGTACATATTTACAGTGAAAGATTATATCTTTAAGGATGTCAGAAATGTTCTGAATCTATCCATTCCAGTTCTGCAAAAACAAACTCACAATAAACAAACTAATACCTGATTTAAACGTTTTCCTTGTTTTCAAAGGAGGTAGAGCCCATGTCTAAAGAAAGCGACCACATTCACATCATCGCCTTAGCCCAGGCCCTGGACATTTCCATTCTGGTGGAGTACATGGATAGAGGAGAGGGAGGAACAGTCAATCACCACGTCTTCCCTGAAGGAGGTGACCCACGCATCTTCCTCCTCTATAGACCCGGCCATTACGACATCTTGTACAAATAACACTCCTGGCCACAGCCCATCTCATCGTCTGGGTAAAAAAACAACATCAGCAGCCGCATTGATGAAGCATACGTGTACGAGATTACACACATGTATTTGAAAAAAATTAAATATAAAGTCACATTACATGCCTCCCGTTCCCCTCTCGCCCCCAAACTCCCAAGTTTCTCCTCAGTCATCACAAAATGGTTAATAAAAAAAAAAAAATCTTTGGAAAATAGAAGTGACTCCAGGCATTTATAGTTGTACAGGTTTTTTTTTCTTTTGTGGTTGTAAATGTTATCTACTTGCTTTATGTTGGATTATTTTCCTTTGTTACACTGCGTTTCATTGAGTTTTATTAAAGGGATTTAAATCTTATTTATTGTCATTATTTCTTGTGCAGTGCTTTTTTTCTAAGTCAGGTTGAACAAGGGCTGCAACAAATTATCATCAAATAATCACTTTTTCTCTCACCTTAAGAAATCTGAACAATACTTAACCTTGCTTTACATTATAACTTCTGTACACTATTAAGCATCATTAAGCATCATCAAACTTTACAACCGGACATTTGAGATCTTGGGGTTTCAGATAATGCATGGTTTCCCAGGATAAATTTAATAAGAAGAGGTTTCATACAAGTTAAGTTTCTAATTATTGACTTGCCTTCTACCCCTGACAGATCAGCTCTCCCCCATACTCATACAATAATGTGTTTATGTAGGTCTCACAGGGTTCAATTACAATGAATTAATAAACATTGTAAATATCCTGTCACTTACACCTCCAACTGTAAAAGAGATTTATGCTGAAGCAGTAGGACTATTTTCCTAATTCATGCAGGCACTCAAAGTGCACCATTAGAATAATAACGCTTAAAACAATGGGACAAATATAATAAAATATGCTTTAAATACAATAAATAAGGGTTTACTGAAGTTACTACAGGAAAACAGTTGCTTATTTTTATCATCAAAAATATGTGCTTTGTTTACAACACATGCGCAGTCACATGCGCAGTCGCGTCATTGCTGCATAACCTAGTAAAATATCGTCTCTAAATCAACAGATGATGTCTCCTACTACTTTTTGTGGGTTGTTGGTAACAACAAATATGGGCGGAGTGAGAGCTCTTTCTCTTGGGGAAGAGTAAGACCAAGCAGGACTGACAGAAAATGTTTCCGCGAGCAAAGTCGCTGACAATGTCAGGAAGGAGGATAGCTGCAGCGTGGATACGGCATCACTCTGTTACAAGTGCGTTCAACGTTTAATTACTAATTTTAAGTGCATATGGATTTAAATGTTTTGTATTGGTGTTGTGACATGAGAGACACATGATGGGGTCACTAGCAGTCAACAAGCTAGTTAGCGTTAGCCAAGGAGTCGGAGACAACTTGGTACAGGGAGTTAGAACTGTTGTATGTTAGTGGACGAGGTCATTTTTTATTGATTTAGGACGTTTTACTGAGTTGCAGGTTTGTGTACAAATGAATTCAAGAGTCGAGGGAATGTGACGTCACCCACGGCAACTTGGCCATCTTCGGAGGCGAACGCAACCTACAGCTAGCAGAGTAGCATATGTTTTCACTCAACACTTTTTTAAATGATGGTCAGTGGGCGTTGTTGTGTCCTTGGCTGTAAGAGCCGACCCCACGACAAACGACAACAAGAGAAGATGGATCAGGTTGTATTCGTTTCCCACATGGAAACTCTACGAGGGAGACCATGTAGCCAACATCACCAAGAGACGCCAGATGGCATGGGTGGCAGCTGTGAGAAAGAGAGACCTCACCTTTGACAACATACCGCAACATACCCATGTCGGCCAAGATCTGCTCTCTGCATTTCCATACAGGTGAGTTTATCATGATCAGAGGAGGAAGAAGTACACTGATCTTAAGTAATTGTAGGAGTACCAGAGTGTAAGAATACAATTAAAAGTCCTGCAATCAAAAATGTTACTCAAGTAAAAGTACACAAGTATGAGCAGCAAAATATACTTATAAAGTACAAAATGTAAAATTGTCAAAGCTGGTGGAGGTCGAGTTAATTAGAATTACTTTTTATACTGCAGGCTATCTTGTTAATTTTACTCCAGGTGTAACTAAAGTCACATTTAGGGAACTGTGTAATATATACCTGGCTGCTAAATCCTAAGAACTGTTACAGGATTTGTATTTTGAAAAGTATTTTTTTTTGTACTTATATTTTTTTATTATATTTTTTATTATATCATAACTTAGTAACTTTTATTTTTTAACATATGTAACATTAAGCTGTCTGTGGCTCTTTCCTGCTGTAATGATGCAAATGTCCCCTCTGTGGTACTAATAAAGGTATTCTGATTAACAATCCAAACGTGCTAAGTAACTAAAGATATTATAAAATGTAGTGGTGTAAAAGTAAACTCTGAATTGTAGTGGGGTGAAAGTACAAATCTGCAAAAAATTGAAATACTCAAGTAAAAATACAAGTCGCTTAAAATTGTACTTAGGTTACTTACTTGAGTAAATGTACTTTGTTACTCTACACCACTGATAATGCAATACCAATTTCACTTGATGCTGTTTGCGTGTTAAATTCCATTCATCCTATTTCTAGGAAGCAAACCTAATGTAACGTTACCAAGCTAACAAACATTATCCAGCGACAGCAACCTTACACAGAAACAGTCACAACTTTTTTTTTCCAGAAAGTTAATTTTCACCCTGCTGACAGTATGAATCCTTGATGTTTTTCAGGAACACCAGCATATGATAGGCGGCTGTGGATCAGTGGGTAGAGTGCTGGACTTTGAATCAGGGGACAGCAAGTTCGAGTCAGCATGTCGGTGTGTCCCTGGGCAAGACACTTCATCCCAAATTGCTCCTGTGCGGATTGTCCACAGTACTGAATGTATGTAAGTCGCTTTGGATACAAGCGTCTAACAAATGACATGTAATAATATGAAATGAAGGAGACAAAACCAGACTGGGCTCCATCTGTACTGCTGGGGCACTCAGAAGTCAAGGTATCAACATGTGGACGTTTTGACACAAGAGTCCACAGAGAGAAGACGAAGCTACCACCCACAGTAGAGGAATCAAAAGACTGAATGTGACTTTTGTAAGGTTCGGCAAGAGGAAATCAACCGCCTGCAGGAAGAAAACACTAGTCTGAGGTTGGAGCTAGAAAAGAGGAAGCTGGGTGAAAAGTTTCTGCAAGATGCTAATTCCTGAAATCAAAAACTTCACAGGACTTCCATGTTTTGCCATATGCTCATGTTTGCTATATCACGCCTCCTCAAACATCAAGAATCAGCTACGATCCTGTGTCTAAGGCTGAATCTCCACGTCCAACACTTGGATCACCTCTTCTGTGTTGACAGAAAAACAATCTCCACCAGATTCAGAGACGCCATACGTCTGTCTTATCCCTTTTGTGTAATCCTTCAGGGAAAATAGAGTACTTGCAGGGCACTATGCCACATCAGGTTGTGGAGCCTTTTGGAAATCTTGTTGCAATCGTTTTAGGCTGGTCCCTTAATTTAGTCTGACTGTGGGTTTGATATAAGGGACTGAGTGCAGGACTTAAGGACAGACATAAGGTGTTTGACAATACCTTTAACATTCTCAAATGGACTTGGGTGGTGTCATATTGGGTAGGTAGATGACATGAGACAATTTACTTGCTTATGTAGATAATAACATGTTATGTGTTGTGTTACTCAATGAGGCTGCATAGAATGATAGTTTCTCAGGTGTATCCATTGTGTGAGAGTGCCATCTGCTGACTGTTAACTGTAAGTGTCAAAAGAGGGGCACCAGTATCAGTGATCAAGATTATTTGACGATTCTTCTCTTAATTCATAAGTTGTGTTAATTTAATATTGTGAAATAATGCTCCTTTGACTCGTTCAAGAGCTTCTTTCTCCTCTTTTTCTTCTTTTGTACTTCATAATACTTTTGCACTTATACGTACTTAAAACATTTTCTTACAAGCAGTGAGGACACATTTAATTAACGTATTTGTTACTAAGGTTAGTTCTAAATGCTAATGTTCACTTACTTACTCTCATGGTATAATCTCATCTGTGTTTCTCCTTAGCTGATCTCATTGAAAACATGGATAAGAAAGCAACCTGGGACCGCTTCTATGCTGAGAACAGAAACAGGACAACCACCTTCAAAAACTTTGAGTGGTTCTTCGGATTCGATGCCATCCGGGACTTCATCATGCCATCCTTGCAGACCAAGTCCCACGGAGACGCTCTGCTCCACGTCCTGGATATGGGCTGTGGCACTTCTGCTATAGGGCCCTGTATTTACAGACACTCCCATCTCCCGGTACGGGTCACGTGTGCGGACATCTCTCCCATAGCTGTGAGACAGATGCTGGAACACATCCAAGCCAATACCATCCAACCTCACAATGCTTCCTCTCAGCTTGAGTTTGTAGAGCTGGACTGCATGGAGCTTCAGACACGCTATGTCTGTAGAAGTGTGGACCTTATAGTGGATAAGGGCACCACAGACGCCTTGCTGAGGTCCAAGGAGGGCAAAGGGAAGGCTGGTCTGGTGCTGAAGCAGTGTTTGAAGGTGTTGCGTAGCTCAGGGTCGCTGCTCCAGTTCTCCGATGAAGACCCTGATGCCAGGCTCCTGTGGCTGGAGACTGAGGCCCAGGAGGCGGGGGTGATGTCATCAGATGTTAGTGTGCAGGAGGTGGGGGAGCTCAGGGGAATGACTTACTACTGCTACCAGGTGACTCCTTGTCCTATTGTATAGCAGCTTTAAACATTACAATAAATACATGGAGGTTCATCATGTTGTATAAGGAAGCTATTAAAAACAATTTTCAAAGAAGGGATGTTTGTTTTATTCTTCGTACCTCATTGTTTAAATGTTTTTATTCGTCACGGCGGGTTACAAATACATTTACGCCAAATACATCCATGTATAATATTCTCAAACACGCTAACACAGACAGTTCAGTTATGAGGCTGACCATATGCACTTTAAGAGTTAATGTACTGAGATTTGGCAGTCCTCACTCTTCCATCTCTTGTATAGTATAATTTTTTGTATAACCTTTTCATGGTGCTCAGTACTTTGACTTTGCTATGACATTTTTGACATGTTCATGGCGTACAATAAAATGATTCTTATTGCATGACTTTTGCATTTGTTTATTTCATAGCATACTGTACTACTATGCCTATTTAATTCATTCATTTTTTTTATGTCATATATGTCTTCTTACGGCATTCTTATGAATCTTGGCATATTATGCAATTAACTTTGTGACATTTTGATGCAGTACGATACAATGATTTTCTTTAGATTTTTAAAAAGACGTAGTTTTTGGCATTAAAAAAAGCAATATACTATACTTCAACTTATTGGCTTTATGGCCTACTTTTTTAATGAAAAGTTTTGTTATAAACATTATGTTCATCTTCATGATGTCTCACATTGTATACTGTATACAAAAAGCTTGGTATAGAATGCCGAAGAACCTGAAAAAATGTCATAGTATTATGTCAACAAAAATGTTGTGGTCTGATTGTCAAAGGTATCCAAAAATGATGAAGAATAGTTTGTTAAAAATATCAAAAAAACGATTTATATGTCGATATATATAACTTATGGTGTTTCTTCTGCATATTTACGACATACGACATACTATGTCTTTTCTTTTTCTTTTTCGACATACTTTACTATGTTATTTTTTCACATTTTTGTATGTATGGTATGTTGCAATATGCTAAAATAACATAGCATATTATGCTTTGTTATTTTAGCATATCTTCGACATACTGTACTATGCCGTTTTTTATAATTTCGACCTACTATAGGCTACTGAGTTGTTTTTGCATATTTTCGACATACTATACTATATATTTATTTCATATTTTCGACATACTATACTATATATTTATTTCATATTTTCGACATACTATACTATATATTTATTTCATATTTTCGACATACTATAGTATACTCTGCCTTTTCTCATATTTTTGACATATTGTACTACTATGCCTTTTCTTGGTGCATATTTTGCATAGTTTTTTCCTATTTTTCACATATTATTTATGCCAATGTTTTGCATATTTTTGACATACTATATGTTTTTTAAAAATATTTATATATATTATTATACTAAGACGTTTTACTGTCATTACCTTTTTTTCCTTTTCATTAAATGCATACAATACTATTACTTTTTTTTTATATTTCAAGAGACAAATTAACATTTTACATGGCACAAAACTTTGTATTTTATGATATTTTATTTAGCTAGTTCTTTTTTTCTATTATTGACATAAACACCCTCAGAAAATCAACCTCAGCATTTATTTTGTGTTTTAATATTTGAATACATTTTGACCTGATTAAAACATGAAATAATACAAATTCCAAATGCACATCTCATGTGGGGATTAAAGTGCAACACTGCCCTCTTGTGTATGTATGAATATATAGTATCCATTATGAAAAATCAAGTCTAGGTTATGTTATGACCCCTCCCTCTCTGCTCTGTTTGTCTGCTGTTGTCAGGGAGGGTCCCAAAGGTGTTCCAGGAGCCACCCAGGCCCAGTTTGGTTCGTCACTTGCCCGCTACACTGGCACACACATTACACCCTTATATGTACTGTATAATATATTGTCTTGTTTCCTGTGGTGGTGTCTTGATGATTGTTGGGATTTAATAAATGCATCGCTAACCTGACATGTCTCCTCTCTTTAGTAGCATTTCCTGAGCCGGTTTGTGACAGTTAAGACTTAAAGTAAAGAGTAAATGAGTATGTAATTTACTTCTTTTTAAGTATAAAGATCATCACAAACATTTTCATCTTTAATTTGCACAAGTGCGGATGTGCTGACATACAGTAGGTCAACATCTCTGTTTGAGTAGTACGGTTTATGACCAAATACATGCAGTGTTAATAACATTCCCACCAGCCTCAGCTATTATATTCAGTGCTAATTAAGAAACACTAACTAAGATGGTGAACATGGGAAACATACCATTACATTACATGTTTCTTGTTAGATGCTTTTATCCAAAGCGACTTACATACTGTGGGCAATCCCCACAGGAACAATCTGGGGTGAAGTGTCTCGCCCAGGGACACAACGACATGCTGACTGCAGTGGGGTTTGAACTTGTGCTCCCCTGATCCGAACACCAACGCTCTATCCACTGCGCCACACGCCCCCCAGCTGAGCATTAGCATCATGTGCATGTTAGCCTTTTGCACTGCTGTGCCATACCTTCACTGGTTTCATGTAAATCAAAGTAGAACATACCTTAATAAACAGATTTCAAAAGCAAGCAAAAAAAACAAAAACAATCTGAATGATTTGATTTCTGATTTTCTATTACTGTTACATCGCAAGTGACTTTTTAACTGTAGCCTATCATTTACTTCAACTGTTTTTGTGGGTTTTTTCACTTCTTACATTCAATCTAATGGTTATACACACATAAAACTAACAATAATTGTATTGATTCAAATGTAATTAATTGCGTCATGAATTCTACCCAAAGATATACCACACCAATGACTGCTACTCAAGTAAAAAACAATAGAGTGCAAAGAGTCATATTAGAGTATTCATCATCAAAGTGCATCACATATCTAAAACATAGTCTGTTTTAAAACAAGCTGAAGAAGGTCGCTGGATCCTCATCCTCCTCTTCCTCCAGCTGGGCGTCCTTACAGAAACGTGGAGGGTTGAGTTCTTGAGGCTCCACTAATCCAATGACGTTGTTGAAGAAGCTGAAGGTTAAACAAAATATGAAAATCCCGAACTAGCAAACATAACAATGGATGCTACAATAATGTACTGAAATCAAAGAAGATGCAAAAATAAAAACCACAACATTTAATTTTTAGCAGTCGTTAAGCTAAACTAAGCAAACCCTCTCCTGGATTGAGCTTTATATTTTACAGAAGATGTAGTTGTCTAAATAATCATCGCACGCTGCAAGAAAGAGAATAAGCGTATATGTCGTATGATCTTAAAACCTTGGTTGCTGATTGGCTAATGGTTACACAAGCCAAAAAAATCGTTATGACATCATAAAGTGGACAAAATCTGATCAGCTCATTTTCAGACAGGATTTTATATAGATCAGGACAAAAAGTGAGCAAAGTCTTTTTTCCTGAAACTTTCAGAATCTCTTTACACAGAGGGGACGCATATTTATGTATAATTAATTACTTGAAAAAGTGGATTTTGCATAATAGGTGACCTTTAAAACAACAGTTATAGCACTGACACACAGAAATGAAACTTGTCCATTACAATTTTAAAACCTGTGTTTGTCAAGTCCAAGCACATTTGCCAATGGTTGATAAAGTCTTGTATTGTATTCTTTCAAATAACTTTTGAAATGTGTGAGTTGTCTGTGCACTCACTGACCTGGTCACCATCCATCCACTTTTGCTGGTGTGAAACATGGTGGTGATAGGGACGCATCCAAACTCTGTGACGGTGCTAATGTACTTTGCTGCAGAAACAAAAGAAGATCATAAGTTAGCTGAGGCAGCAAAACCAGACCAGCAGGTTTTGTAAGCATCGACAGAAGAATCACAGAAAGTCATGTGCTACACACGTCGCATATCTGTCTAACTTCCTCTCTGTTAACTTCCTCTAAATCTACCTGTTCTATTCTTCATCTGCAGCTCTCCTTCCCATGAGTTGACCAGGACCCCCTGCCCTGGTCCAGAGGAGCTGCCCAGCACCACCTGTCCTAGCAGGTTAGCGTCCTCTGGGATGGCCAGTGGGTGAAAGTCTGCCTTCAGTGGCTTCTTGCAGCATGTTTTGTTCTTCTTATCTATCTTGTACATGACACCCTGGAGGAGAGATTAGCAGTAAAGATGAATATGTGTTGCACACGGAATCTCTGAATGAAGACATAAATGTTATTGTCATTACCTTTTGGAAGAGTAGAAGTACATCGAAGTGGAAGCTCTTATTGTCATAACTTCCAAACTCTCTGAGGCGGATTCGCTGTCCCAGTGCGTCATAGGTGTACTTGGCATAGGCCATCAGATTCTCTTTTTGGGTAGCCTTGGAAAAGGATACAAATGTATTATTAAAGCAAATTGGATCTTTTTTGAATGAAAGTAATCCAATATTTTTTGCTTTTCACTATTGTGAAAGGAGATACACACTTACCACTGACACAGTTCCAGTCAGCAGTCGTGGGGATTCTGTTAGAATAAAATAAATGTTTTTATTACAAATGGATCATATACGTCAAAGCTTGCAAATATTTCTTCATAAAGCAAAAACAGATCAGCACATAACTGATCGTTATCATCGCACAGGTAAACTAGATAACAAAGTCACATCTTTTTGTTCTACTTACTGCATGGTTTGGGTCTCTGAGCCAGGCAGCTCGCTGACAGGAACACCAGCAGGATGAAGGCTCTCATGCTGTCCGATGGCAGAAACACTTTCCTCTGCACACAGATCCAGATATGCTGCTGCAACTGAGTTCACTTCCTTATAAACACACAGGGGAGGCTCCCAGTCTGCATCCACTGCCAGGTTTTCTAACAGTCCTGAGAAGCTCACACACCTGCTCTCAGAATATATTTGTTTTAATGTTATTAATGTGCAGCATCCCCGTGACCCAGCTGGCACGAGGTTTATAGCCTGAGATGTTTAATCATGACATCTCATTTATTTCTCCCAATAGTTGCTATCTTTTATTGTAGTAGCACATTTTTTATGTAAACCTTTAAAATAGGACATCCAGGGGACTATTTGGGTTCAATACTCCAGATTTTCTAGTATCTAAAATGAACGTGTTTTGCACGGATGTTTATTTCTGAAATGATATAGTCATGTTTATACAGTTTCCTGTTTTCACTAGACACTTGGACATGTATTATGAAAGATGTAGATTCTGTAAACGCTTGACATTTTGCCATGCACCACTTTTGCCCATTATAATGCTGTATGATACGTTTGTTTGTTTATTTATTTAAAGGACAGTGCACATTAATCCACATTGCTGTAAATGAGCCAGTATTAGCCAGCAGGTTGTAATTAAACAGATAGGTCAGTCGAAATGTGCTTTTTATACATATATCTTTATTGATAGAAATCACAAGATTAAGTGACATGGCAATTTTACTTCAGAAAACATTCATAATTCCAGCCTTAAGTTCAAGACAGAACATTGTAAAAGAAAAAAGTTTTCAAAAATCCGTCTAGGTTGCATCATTTTGTTGACATTTTTTCCAGGAGTAAAAGGCTATGATCTATTTGTTTCATTTGAAATGGTATGTTAAAGGTGTCCCTCAGTGCTTATTATTGAACAAGCTGAAGAAGTCCACTGGCTCTTCATCACCAGCCTTCATCTCCGCGTGCTGGCAGTAGGCTGGAGGGTTAAGCTCTTGGGGGTCCAAAATCCCAATGACATTGTCAAAGTAGCTAGGAAACAAACAGAAAGAAAGAGACACTTGGTGGGAAGCAAAACAATTAACATTTTATAAAAGTCCCTGCTAGGCCTTTCACCATCATCAAACTATCCTTTCTGCTATATGGAGATTTTAACAGTGTACTTACCTAAACAACACCCATCCAAACTGGTCGGTGTGGAACACAGTAGTGACAGGAATGCAACCAAATTCAGTCACTGTGCTCATGAACTTCCCTGTGAAGTTTGGAGAAGAAAAGGCATGTGTAAATAAAATCTAAGGCAGTCAATGCAGCACAAACTATAATGTGCTGTCCTACCTGCTTTCTCGGGGAGATCCCCCGTCCAAGTGTTGACCAGGAGTCCTTCTCCAGGTCCGGAAGAGCTGCCTAAAATAACCTGGCCCAACAGAGACGCATCTTTTGGGATAACCATGGGTTGGAAGTCTCCCTTCAGAGGCCTTTTGTTGCATGTGCGGTTGTGCCTGTGAATCTCATACATGGTAGCCTGAGGAGGAGAGTTGTAGGGTAATGACTTTTAAACCTGACTAACATCTATGCATAATACAATCATTTAAATACCAACATTATTCATTCCTGGTGATGGACCGGGTACTTTAATACCTTTACTTTAGTCTTATGGTTACTAGTTTTATTTAGTTTGATTTATTCTATAGGTTTTTAGATTTTATTGTATCTATTCATTTTGCTTTCTGGGACGGATCATTAGTTATTTATTTGTATTATCATACTTTTTACCTCCTTGTGTCTCTTAAACTGTTAAACTGTATGTCATATGCTGCATGTTTCCAAAGAGGTCTTACCGTGAGTTCCTTGTTCTGTTTTCATTTGTAATGTGTGCCATATTGTTAAAGCACTTGAGCTGCACCTGGTTTATGAAGTACTATACAAATAAAGCTTTATTATTATTATTATTATTATTATTATTATTACTGTAGCACTTGTGAATCTGTGTTGTGTAATCTATGTTGTTTTGCATAAGTTTTTTTTTTTTTTAAATCACAGAAATGGCTAAATGTGTGTTTATGCATTCAGAAAGCACTGCATGCTTACTGTACAAGTTGATAAAATTACTCTAACATCTGCAACTGTCTCGTGACTAGCCTTTAAAAGCACTAAAATCTGTAAAATTCACATGTCTACTTTACTTCTTCACCAGGATGAATGTTGTCATAGACAGGTATAAGCAGTAATTGTGAACTCTAAAACATAACACTAAAGATTATAGTCTTGCTGATGCCTCATGTTAATCATTGGCAAGGTGCACATAAAACTCCTACTTCCATTAGAAAGCTCTGAAGAGCAAATGCCTTTAATGACGTCCAACTCCAGAGTTTGTTCAAATGTTAAATCAATGTTCCTTGTACTTCTGAACCGTTAAATGAATACTGATGTTTATGTCATAGCGTTGGTCACCTCTCTGTAGAGCAGGAGAACGTCGTAGCTGAACGTCTTATTCTCATAGGTCCCCAGCTCCATGAGTCTGATCCGCTGTCCCATTGCATCATACAGGTACTTGGCATAGACCCACAGATTTTCCTTCTGTGTGGACTGGAGAAAGATCATGTGAGTTTCAAGATTCAAGGCTTTTATTGTCATTTGTACATAGCTGGGTCAATATCACTATAAAGTAACGTTGGTGTCCCCATCAGAATCACTGAATTCACACAGAATAATGAAACTCTGAGGTCTTATTATACAAGGCCAAACATTTACACACATATCAGTGCAAGGATAAGTCTCTTGAAATGTGTTTCCTTCATTTTATACCTTATTTTTTCATTGGATGTATGTGATTTTGGCATGTCCCACACACTACTCTGCTAACTACAGTGTGTGTAATAAGTGCTTAAATGATACTACATTTAAAAAAAAAAGTATATGGTTTTATTGTCCACAACGAGTTATTTGATAAAACAAGTCATTTTGATCATGTATATTCTATTTTCATAATAATATTGATTCATATATATTTTTCATATGTCCCTGACCTTTGCTGTCCACCCTGTCATTAAGGTGTAACTGCCCCATAAAAAACCCTCTGATGTTTTCATTGACATCACTACCACCATTGTGTCTTTCCTCAATGGAGGCTGAGACATTGGCTAGTTGCAAAGTAAGTTTTTAAACTTATATTTCGAAATTGTAATCATATTATGTGTGTAGTTGGAAGTTGTCAAAAATTAACATGTCCACTCTGTCATAGTGAAATGTCAATTAATATAAAAACCTTTCAGAAATTCGAAATATATTTGTTAAACAGCACACAGTCACTCAGGCCTCACAGGCAAAATGTACTGTCTGTCCCACGCACCCACTTCAAGACCCGCGTGATCGAGCATTCACAGCTGTGGCTCCTAAATTATGGAATGCTCTGCCTG